CCCATTGACCCGCGCTCCGCCCCGTAGCCGGGCCGGTGAGTGCCCGCGAGCCCGTCCGTGCGTCCAGGGGGCCGGGGAAAGGGACCCCTGAGAGGGAGGGGTAACCGGAAGTGGGGGACTCGAGGAGAGAGACCCCAGGAAATGGGGACACCTGGGGAAGGGGTGACAGCCGGAAGTGGGGGCCGCAAAGGGCTGCCGACGGGACGTCTAGTCTCGGGCTCCGGGGGCTCTGGCAGCCTGACCTCCCCTTGTTTGGGTGGCGTGGGGAGAAGGTGCCGCTCACAGAATGACGGACTCCAGGTGAGGAGGGTTCCCGGCTGCACCCTGACGAACGGTGCCTGCACCCCTCCCTCCCCCCACCCGTCGGTCGGTTCGCCCGGCGGTGACTGAGCCCGGCCCTGCTCGACCCCGCGAGCCCCTGGGGAGTCAACGGGAAGCTCCGGTGTGGGCCGCGCGCATCCTGCCCTGCCTCACGAGGTGTGTACCCCGGCACGTCGCTCAGCCTCACGTCACCCGCCCGTCGCTGCCGAGCACCGTCATGTGCCAGGCCCGGGGTAGCCGTGAACATGCCAGGCAAATTGTCTGCCCCCGTGGGATTTACATTCTAGTGGGCGCTTTCCTCCTTTGTAAATGGGAACAGTCATAGAGCTGTGACCAGAGATTGTGAGGATTAAATGAGAGAGAGATGTAAAGTGCTTATCACCGTGCTTGATACATGGTAAAATGCTCAAGTACATGTTATCTCTTCATTATTGCACTGTGAGTTAAACTTCCTAAGGCAGAGAATTATATTGTTCCCCGTTGTATGCTCAGTGCCTATGAGCGCAGTGCCTGACACCTATGGTAGGTGATCAGTAATTATTTGGTAATGAATGGATAGTGAAACTGACTCTGAGGAGTGTTCATGTAAATACCCATCACACTGGAATGCCATTTCTGAAAGAAATAGCTGCTGTGGAAAACGAGGGAGTCACCCCGGGGGAATCGGGGAGGTGACATTGAAGCTGGGTCTGTAAGGTGATGAGTTGTCTGGTTGGGAACAAACAAGGAGAGGAAATTCCAGGCAGAGGTGTCATAACTGCAAGAGGCGTTCTGAGAATGGTGGGTCAGTAGTTTGCTTCGACTGGCATTTAATGTGCATTGAGAGGTGGGAAACTAGGAGAGAGGCTGGAAAGGACTTTGAGGCTAGGAGAGGGATGTGGGACATAGAGTATTTCTCCTGGGTAAGTACAATCTGAATTGGGATTACAGGCATCTGTTGGTAACGCCCTGGAAACAGAGCCCAGGGTGGGTCCTATCAATCTATGATTGTTCCATTCCTTGTTCAGCATACCTCTGCCACGCAGATTAAACTCATTCAACAAATATTTATGGAGCTCAGACTGTGTGCCTGGCACCCTGTTAGGTGCTGGGTTTAAGGTGATGAGAAAGACAGAAGACAGATGTGAACATTGCCCACAAATTGCCTACAGACAATTACTGTGGAATGGGAGAAGTGCTACGTCAAAGAGCTCCTGTGGGGAAGGCTTCTAACCTGACCTGGAGACAGGCAAGCTGCCTCCTGTTCAAGCACCATCATCTCGCTTGGATCATTGCAGCAGCCTCTGAATGATCTCTTCATTTATGTCTCCATCCCCGTTAGTTCATTCGTAAGACAGGTAATCCTTTTAAAATATAAATGGTCATGTTACTCTACTGAAAACCCTCCATGGCTCCCACCAAACTCAAAGTCTAACTTTTTATTGGCCTGCAAAGCTCTGTACCAATGGGTACCTCTCTAAATCCATCAGCTAATACTCCCTCCCTTGCTCATTTGGCTCTAGCCACACTGGCCTTCTCTTCCTTCCTCAAAAAAGCCAGGCATGTCCCTGCCTCTGGCTTTGCACTTGTCCCCCCAGATACCTACACAGCTTGCTCCGTCATCTCTTTTGTCTTTGCTTCATTGTTACTTGGGTGAGGCCTTCCCTGACCACCCTATTTACAGTTGCAGCTCCTATCCCTAGATACATTCAACCTCTTTCCCTGCTTTATCTCTCTCCATAGTACTTATGTTCTAGCAGACTGTATAGTTTATTTTGTTTATAGTGCCCCCACCCCCACTAGTATCTAAGCTCAATGAAGGCTGGAGTTTTTTATTCACTGCTGTATCCCCAGTGTCTGGAAGTGGGCCTGGTACATAGTAAGTGCTCAATATTTGTTGAATGAATGAAGTGGCATCTAATTGGAACTTAAGGGTGAATCAGTCAGGTGATGAACTGGAGGAAGAGCATGTTAGTTGGAGGAAACAGGATGTGCACAAGACAAGAAAACACCTCTGGGAAGAAGTGAAAGAAGCTGGGTGGCACTGGAGGTTAGAATGCAAGGAATGGAGTGGGCAGACCTAAGACTTAGGGGAAGTGACCTAGTCACAGTGACTGCCGTGCAATTGCGGGTGACTGGCTATGTGCAGAGACCCCTAAGAAGTCCCTGCCTTCCTTGTTGAGCTCCGTGCAATTGCGGGTGACTGGCCATGTGCAGAGACCCCTAAGAGGTCCCTTCCTTCCTTGTTGAGCTCCAAGTGGGAGTTCAGTGACAGCCATGGGCAAGAGCTCGGGATTTGGAACTAGACAGCCCTGCTGCTAGCTTATTCCTGGAATATCTAAGGCTGCTGTTTTTGTTTTTCATTCGATAAGTGTGCTGGTTTCGGTCTTCTAGGAAGCAGACACCAGGATGAGATTAGACATGAGAGAAATCTATTGGTGGCAACGCCCATGAAGCATAAAGGGAGGGGAGCTGGCCCCTGTGAAGGAGATTTGGGCAGGAAGTCTTGGACTGCAATGCAGGTCCATGAAAGGTTTGTCTGGCCAGGCTGATAGGTAGTCCTCACGGCAGAGTTGCCTCTTAGAGGAGTCCCATGTCTCAGTCATTGGCTGCGGGCAGTCTGTGGAGAGTGACAACCACTGAATGGTGGATCTAGAGGGACATTAGCTAGGCCCATCCATCAATTATATTTCACCCCAGCAGGAGATCTGATGACTTCAGTATCATGGCCACCATGTTAAGTTATATTGTATATGGTAAACAAAATTCAAACAGTACAGTAAAGTCTCTCCCACATTAAATATCTGGTTCTTTAGTTCTGTTCCCTGAGAACCACTGGCAACAGTTTCTTATATCTCCTTTCAGAAATGTTAGGTGCATTCACAAATGTATATATGTATATATTTTTAAAACATAAACACAATTATTTTATGTATGCTGTTCTACAACCTGCTTCTTTTCCCTTATAAAAATTTTATAAAGTTCTACCTGATTTTCATGACTGAATAGTATTCCATTCATATGGTGATATTATTTAACCAGTCTCCAACTGATATGTAGTTAAAGTGTTTCCAGTCTTTTGCCATTATAATCAATTCTTGTGATGGTCATCCTTCTGTGCATACATTTTCCACACATATAAGTGTATGTACTGGAAATGGAATACCGGAGCAAAGGGTATGTGGTTTTAATGTTTTAACTTTTTATTTATTTTTACCTGAAAATATGTTTATTGATTAGAGAGAGAGAGAGAAACCTCTACGTGAGAGAGAAATACTGATTGGTTGCCTCCTGTACACACCCCTGACCAGGGATCAAACCCACAACCTAGGTATGTGCCCTGACTGGAAATTGAACCCACAACCTTTTGGTGTACAGAATGATGCTCCAATCAATTGAGCCACCTGGCCAGGGTTAAATTTTGATAGATGTTGACAAACTGACATCTAAAGAGGCTATATAATTTATTCTCCCAACAGCAAGCATATCAGAGTACCCATTTTACATTTTTCCAATCTGAATTTCAGAGTTGTTTTAATTCACATTTCTTTAATTATGAGTAAGGTCAAGCACCCATTCATACATCTGCGAGCAAGGCCATGATGTTTGATGAGGAATGTGTTTCCTGCTGTAGGCCTGGGTGCCTCTGGAGCTTCTAGCTTCGTTATCTGGGGTTGGACTTGGGCACATGGTTCAGATCCAGTTTGCCCCTACCCACCCAGTTGAGACCACTGCTCTGAGGTTACTTGGCTTAACAAAAATGTTCCTGTCCCCCTACATCAGCTGCCCTGGGGTTTGAAATGACCAATTAATAATGCTGCACTTTATTAATTTTGCTTGGGGCTTCTGTTTTAACAGGGATTCTAGTACCTAATGTCAGAAGAAAGTGACTCTCTGAGAACCAGCCCTTCTGCGGCCTCACTTTCCGAAAATGAGCTGCCACCAGCACCGGAGCCTCCTGGCTATGTGTGCTCACTGACGGAAGAACTGGTCACCAAGGCCAGGGAAGAGCTGCAGGAGAAGCCAGAATGGAGACTGCGAGATGTCCAGGCCCTCCGTGACATGGTGCGGAAAGAGTACCCAAACCTGCGCACCTCTCTGGATGATGCCTTCCTGCTGCGCTTCCTCCGAGCCCGCAAGTTTGATTATGACCGGGCCCTGCAGCTCCTGATCAACTACCACAGCTGCAGGAGAAGCTGGCCCGAAGTCTTCAATAACCTGAAGCCTTCGGCCTTAAAAGATGTCCTCGCTTCAGGATTCCTCACCGTGCTGCCCCACACTGACCCCCGGGGATGTCATATCCTCTGCATCCGCCCAGGTATTGCCATAGGCTGTTGCTGGGTGTGTGTGTATATACAGCCTCTTTTGGGGATATGTCTGTCTAGCACCTTCTCTTCCTTTCCTTTTGCCTTTTGTCCCCTCCCTGTTTTAGTCAAGGCTCTTTTAATGGCAGATGACAAAGCCCTACTCAACCTGGCTTAAGAAAAAAAGGAGGGCCCTAGCCAATTTGGCTCAGTGGTCCCAAGTTCAGTTCCAGCCAAGGGTACGTAACTTGGTTGCAGGCTTAATCCCGGCCCCTGTTGTGGTGCATGCGGGAGGCAACCAATTGATGTGTCGCTTTCACATAAATGTTTCTCTTTCTCTCTCTCCCTCTTCCACTCTCTCTCTTAAAAGCATTGGAAAAAATATCCTTGGGTGAGGAGACAGGAGCATCTTATAGAACCACTTTGCTGAAGGTGCAGCAGCTGTCACTAGGCCCTGGAACCCAGAACCAGAAACAGAATCCAGTTCATTCCTCCTTCAGAAACTAAGCGAGCCGTTCTCCCTGCCTCTGCCTTTCTGTCAGTCTGTGTCTCTCTCTGGGCCACACATTTCTGATGCCCTTTGCATACTTCACTCTTCTGTCTGTGGCCTGGCTTTTTGCTGCCTCTGTACACATGGCTAGATCTGGCATACCTAGTTGGTTTACCTGGCCACCCAACTAAGTTCCTTCAATGCAAATTCCAGATTTCCAGGGTTGGGTATCTGGTGGGCTGAGAAAGCTGCCCTGGTTATCAGGTACAAGCAGGGCTGCCAGGACCCCTGGCCCCATCCCTCCTTTGTGAGTAGGTGAGGTACAGATATCTGTGTGGGATGGGCAATGCCTGGGAAGGTGTCAATCTACCACATGCCTCCACCCCGCCCCCAGCTGTAACATTTGCCATCAGACCAGTGCTGAGACAAAATTTGAAATTCAGATTACAGTGTTCTTCCCGACAAGCCAGGGAAGGGAGGACTTGCTGGCAGCTCTCTTTGCTCATGCATACAAATGCCTCCTGAAGGGACTTCTGATGGGGAGTGGAACCCTTCCTGCACTTTCCTCTGCCTTTAAGCCCCACGTCACCATTTCCGTTAGTCATTTACCAAACCCTCTTTGGAGACCAAACCATTTTCTTGAGCCTTTATTGTGTTCCAGGCACAGTGTTAACTGCTTTACCTGCTATTTTAGGCACTTTCCAAAATGAGGGGTGTTTATTTTTAAATAAGCAATACAGTGGCGATTTCTGGGCACCAGGATACCTAGAAACTCAGTCATGGGTTTTCCTGCTGCTCCTTTACTCAGTCCATAAGACTATTATGAAACAGTCAGATATTACCACACTGATTTCACCTCTTTGTGTGGCTTCAACCCCTTGCTTGTGAGATGAATTTTCCCCCCATATGTCTGAAGTGGATCTAGACCTCCTCCCCACTGACTCAGCCTTTTAGAAAGCGGCGTACACAGAAGGTTTTGTTCTCAACTGGGGATTGGCTTTGCCTTTTTTAGAAGCTCTTTTGAGACATCTGTGGTTGAAAAGGATGGTAGACAGTTATTTAGAAGCAGGTTTAATTGGCAGCAATATCAAACAGCAAGCTGGCACAATTTTTGGACAAAGATATCTTCATAGGAATTTTGTGCATTTTACACATTCTGTTGGTGGTGATCACATGGAGTTTTATCTTTCTAAGAAAGGGTCCCACAGGTTTTGGTGGGATTTTCTTTTTTTTATGCATTCATTGGTTGTTTCTTGTATGTGCCCTGACCTGGGATCGAACCCAAAACCTTGGTATATCGGGATGATGCTCTAACCAACTGAGCTAGCCTGCCAGGGCCTTGGTGGGATTTTCTTGAGAATAGTGGTTAATAGTCAGAAGTTGTCACTTTCATCTTTATACCAAAGAAAGACTCCCTAAGTATGTGAGAAGTATTAAAGGAGCATCCAGCCTGGAAAGGGGAATTTGCTCAAACTACGGCATTAGAAAGTTGTCTCCATTGCCGCTGTCCTAGGCATGGGCTTCCTTCTCAGACCAGCTCTTGTCTCATGGGGCCCCTGAGTCTCAGCCTCCCATCCTCACCATTCCAAGAGGAAAGAGAGATCTTCTCTTTCCAAAGTCCCCTTGGCACACTTGACCTGGCTTGAATCACACACTGTGGCCAGGGGCAAATAAGACCCAGATTGGCCAAGCCCACACCTGGAGCCAGGAGTCAATTCAGTTGTCCCCAAACTGCATAGCTACTATGGGAAGAGATGGTTCCCCAAAGAAAATCAGGGTGATGTTCTGAAGATAAAGTAACCCATCTGATGGCAGAAGGCATACATGTCCATAAGGTAAGTACTATTGTCCTATTGGCCAGTACTATTGGCCAGTGTTCAGTGGTTAGAGCGTCGGTCTGAGTATCGAAGGGTTGCGAGTTTGATCCCTGGTCAAGGGCACGTACCTAGGTTGTGGGTTGATGCCCTGCCCTGGTCCAGGCATATGCGGGAGGCAACCAATTGATGTGTCTCTCTCATATCGATGTTTCTCTCTCTCTTTCTCTCTATTTCCCCCCTCTCCCACTCTCTCTAAAAATCAATAGAAAAAATATCCTCAGGTGAGGATTAACAAAAAAATTATTATTATTATCCCATTATACTTAGGAGGCAGTGTAGGCTCAGAATAAGGAAGTAACTTGCCCATGGTGTAACTTCAGAGTTCACACTTTGGACTTCAACACTTAACTGCATTTCCATTTCAGGAATTAAGAAATATCAGCTGCTGCTGAAGGTGTCTGATTTCCTAACCTAAATAGAGCCATGCTGGTAGAATATCATTTTGCTTTTCCATTTTTAAATGACAGTTTTAGCATGGAGATAAATCTTAGCCTGTCCAATTGTTTGTATTTATTTATGTAACGTACTGATCATCTCTTATAACATTAGACAGATGGATACCGAGCAACTATCCAATTACTGAAAACATCCGAGCCATATACTTGACATTAGAAAAACTCATTCAGTCTGAAGAAACCCAAGTGAATGGAATTGTAATTCTTGCAGACTACAAAGGAGTGAGCTTATCAAAAGCATCTCACTTTGGCCCTTTTATAGCCAAAAAAGTGATTGGCATCCTTCAGGTATGGCCCCCATTTGTCGTGTGCCTGTTCTGTGGTTGTTTTGGGCCCTGTCCATTTACCCATATGATACACACACCCCACTTCCCACTCCTACAATCAGAAAAATACAAAAGCATTATGGGAAATGTAAAAATTCTGTGTACCACTCATTCCCATGAGGGTCTCTAGTAGTTTCTGAGGTACCTTCAATCTAGACAAGATCAGCTTTTGAACAAGAGTCCAAAAGCCAGGAAAATTCTTTCTCCTTTTTTTTTTTTTTTTTT